GGATCTCAGCTGAGTATCAATGTTGAATTGATTTCCAGGACCAGAAAGAGAAATATAAAGTAAGTCTCAGATAATAAATCTTTGCTTATTTCCAAAAACAGTATGATGTATTAACCATTATCTCTATTTTGATAGAAACAGGGAAGATCTAACAGTTCTCAAAGAAAGCTTCAGGAACCTCTAAGACTGAAAAGAACACTTTAACAAATCTCCCAAGTGTTCCAGTCACACACTGCCAGCTTCCCTAAATTTCATTCAGATTTTCCAATTTCATCTCTGAGCAATGCTTGTAAGGACTAACCACTGTTACCTGTGTTAACTTTGATCTCACCTGCACACACACAACAAACATGAGCACACAGCTCTGAACTCATGAGCACATTGTAGGGCTCAAAAGCTGATCCAGATTTACATTGATGACTATGAATGTAAAGGGCAGAGAGGGCCTGGAAGGGTCAAGGATCTACTTCTTCCCTTCATCTACCTACCAGGCCAAAGGCTTTTCATCAGGATTTCTTGATGGTGCTCCAAAAAATGTGTGCTAGGTGGCTTTCTGGGAAGACCCAGGAGCTCTCAAGAGTCAAGCCTAGTTGCAAGGATAAGCATGGGCTATTGCTAGACAGAGGACTAAGAGTTATGAACAGAAACCAGACTGTGTCTCATTCTGCCACATCAACCCATCCCTGCTTCACTTGGTAAACCTTGCACAGGACACCAGGAAGGGGCCGTTTTCCACAGGGTGAAGGGTTGGACAAAGATGCCTGAGGAAGACAAGAAAGGTGACAGCTCTGTGACAGGACTGCTTGTTTCTCCCTGAGGAGCAGCACAGGAGGGATGAACTTGCTGTGCTCTGCACACCAGCTGTGAGAGACGGGGAGGGAGGGACTGTGGGAGGGGAGGTGGCAGCAAGGGGTGGGGAAGGCACTGAATGTGCCGAGATGGGAAAAAGCACCTTCACAAAGGACACAGGGGCTGGCTGCACAGGGGTGCTGAAGGACAACAGCACAGTTGCAAACTTGCTCGTCTCTCTCCAGGCTTTGTACAGGCAGGAGTCCACACTCCCCACCTCCCTGGGCTCACAATGCCTCTTGCATCTTCTCTTTAGTTGAAGATAATTAAGTCACTGCTTGTGCTGGATCTCACCACCCTGACCAAGATGAGCAGACAGCCCTTGTGGGGCGATGGCTGCAGCACAGCAGGGGCTGGCAGGAGCAGGTGACTGCTGCCTGCACCCCTCTGTCAACTCTGCTTCCATTTCTGACAACACACCAGTGCAGTCCCAGGACACACAGAGAAATCTTGTTCAAAAACAACAGCCAAATCAGCATAACTGCTCAGCATAATGACATTTCCCTGCCCAGTAGGTGACAAGCCATGGGTTTACAGTCAGTCCCTCAAGGACTGCATGACTTTGATGAGCATGCCAAAATCCAACTTTTGCCTTAAACTGTTTTTTACAACACCTAGACATCAGACTGAAGAATTCTGCAAAGTAAGTAGGATTTAAGACAGCTCCTGAGCTGATGACTTTCCAACACCCACAAATGTCCTGCTGACGCCTCAGGAGGAACATTCAATTTCAAGAATATTCCTGAAACAACTCTGACAATTCACCTCACCATGTGTGAATGTTGAGCTGAGAACAGTTATGAAAGTGAGCGAAAGTACTTTTTTATTATGTCTCTTCTCAGCATCTACCACTAAACTAAGCACATTTACTAAACTGTCAGTGCCTTGGCAGGGGACAGACAGGGGGTCTCAGAGTTGAGGATGAAGCAGTTTGGGCAGGGGCTGCACAGGAGGCAGCTACAAGGGAACCAAGTCTCACAGCTTTGCCCAATCCAAGTGCAGGCTGCTGCCAAAGGAAGGGTCCCAGCCTCCTGGAGCCCTCTGTCTGCACCCTCTGCCTTGGGTCAGCTCCAGCCATCTCTTCAAGAAGGATGAACAACCCTCCCTCCCTCCTTCTCTGCAGCCTTTGTTTTGTGTCAGATCAGTGGGTGCACATGGCTGCAATGTGTTGCTGGGAGCACCTAGAAGGACAGGGTGCTACCCCTCAGCTGTGCAACTGGGCAGAGCCCTTCCCTGACAGCACCAGCATCTTTAGCCAGATTAAACCAGTTGCAGAAGGGCATCTTCCTTCTCTCTACCTTTGCACTGAAGCCCGTGAGGAGACAGGGAGGATGGAGGAGGTGAAGCAGTAAAGCCAAGCTCCCAGCACAGTACTGCTCAGAGCTCTTCATCCCAGCACGGGCAGACAGCTGTCAGTGCACCAGACCTGAGGGCCTGCACACTGCTGGGCTCCCCCAGAGCCCCTCCAGCGCTCAGACCCTCCACTTGTCCTCCATCATGTATTTATCTCTCCCAGACTACAGGTTCCTCCTGCAGCAAAGTATTGAGGTGTAGGAAAGATCCAGGAACTGCCAGCACAAGTGTGGTTAGGGGAACACTCAAACAGACCCACAACCAGACTGAAGGCAGGGTAGAACTGTTCCTTCTCCAAACGAGGCTGGTTAGTCCTGTATCCTCAATTTCAAAACAGCACACTGCTCAATTTTTAGTTTTACTGGGGGCTGGAGCAGAACAACAATGATGACAGGACACAGTAAATACCCAGTGTCCTCATATAAGCATTTACTCACTGGACAGTTGAGCTCATCTAATTAAGGAGCATTAAACCATCTCCTCTCTTCCCTCTACCTTGTTAGACTATTGGCTCAACAATTCTGTTCTCCACAGGCACCACAGAACACCCATGGCTGCCTTTGGAGTGTGCCAGACACCAGTGCTACAGGAGTGAAGGCATAAGCAAAGGCTTCACAGCTGTAGCCTGTGCAAGCTGCTCTACAAATCAAGGCATTTTCATTGCCTTCTTTTATTTATGTTGTTTAAGACCCTCTCAGGTAAATCTAACTAAAGAGCAGACTTCTCCCCCTCCTTGTCTCTGACCCGATAGCCTGTGGTCATCCCTGCCAACCTCCTGTTCACTTGCTCAGCCAAAGCTCAGCATTCACCTACATGGACGATCTGAATCAAAAACGTGGGATCAAGTCCACCAGGATTTATCAAAACCTCAACAACCCACAGAAATCAACTTTCTCTTTCAAAGCACCCCAGGTTTCGGGGTTTCATCTGCTTCCAGGGTGCAAGTCACCTCAGTGCTTCTTTGTGCTGCTCCACCACATGCTCTCTAGGCACAAAGGCACAAGCTCACTGCTCGTCCTACACTGGCTGCATCTCCCGAGGTGTGGAGCACGCTGCAACATGTTGCTATGGAATATACCTGCAAGCAGTGACACTTGCAAACTCTTATAAATAAGAAAACCCACCCACAACAGATTCCCCTTGGCTCTTGGAGTCCCTGATCTCACACTCAGCTTTCCCAGGCCACTGGAAACACCTCCCAGAGGCTCAGGACAGATAACTTGTTTCTTACACTGAATAATCTTATTTCTCAATCTCTCTCTGAATATCATGTCAGTTTGGAAGGTAATATTTCCTGCAGTTCACGTGTTCCAAGCCCTCCCATCCAGCTCCTGCAATACTCAAAGTGAACCGTTCCTGCCCCTCGGGGGGAAGGAGCACCGTGCCAGGTGCCAACACTGCAAGAGATGCAGCAATGGGTGATCATCAGCTTTCTTTTGAAGCCCAGACAGATGAAGGCAGGCAGTAAACACTGCACTCAGCCTCCTTTGTCTGGGCACAAAAGCTTGTAGAAATTATGCCACTGCAGTTTACAGAAGGGTTTTCCCAGTTGTGAGGGTACTGCTCACTTAGTACCTCCACCGACCGGCCCAGCTCTACCCCCCTACAAGCATCTCCCAGGCAAACGCATGGAGCCCTACAACTCCTTCCTTCCACGTACAGAACGCTAATGCCGCGCCAAAACCAAGCTGAATCTCGTGTTTAAATCAGGTAACACACGTCTCCATCTCAGGAACGCTCACGCCGCTCAGGAATCACACACGGCCAGAGAGCCTCTCCCCGCGCCCGGGCAGCACACAAAGGCACGGAGACAACCATTCCCTCAAAGGCCACACACGGGGCTCGCTCATCCACAGCCCCTCACCTTCCCAGGCCTCCTCCCGCCTCCTCCCCGGCAGCTCTTACATCTCCGCTTACAGCCCTCACTCCTCGTTCAAGCAGGGAACGAACTCTCCGAGGGCTGCCCGGCTCATCCCCAGTGCAGGACAAACGTGGCACTATTTGCACGCTCCAGCATCAACTTTTCACGGGCATTTCCGGCCTTTGCCACACAGTGCAACGTAAAGACAGGTGAGCTTAATCTCAACTACTGTGGTTACAAAACATGTTCACGCATTTCAACAAGTTACTTTTCTTCCATAAAGAAGCAACAAAAATCCAGGAAATTACAAAGGGGCTGATTTATCCTCAACAAGGACTGAGGGCTCTCCTCCAAACTGCTCCCTGATCCCAGGGATGACACGGACCCCTGACAGCCTCGTGTGCTCTGCAAGGCCTCGCGGGGCAGAAACAATGCTGGGCTCCCACAGGTGCTCTCAACTAACACAAAGATCGCATCGAACGAGGCACTAAAAATTGCTTCACCATCGTCTACAAAAGTTACCATAGACTGAAAGCATCATCACAAACACCACAGGCTCTGGGATGCTGGAGGTTTAGGGGGAAGCTTCAGCAGCCCATGAGGAAGGCAAAGGAGAGAGTCACTGTAAGCCCCTGCTGCACAAACAGCTCCCGTAACACTTCAGACAAGCCTCCCATCCGCACGTGGAAAGGAAGCATCGCACATCCTGGCAAACCGCGTTAGGAGCAGAGACGAGAGAGATCACATACCAGGAACGAGCTATGGTGCAAGCATTTCTGACGCCAGACAATGTTTGTGGCGACACGGGACTTCTGCAGTCACCTGGTCCAGAGCAGCCCCGGGCACCGCACACCCGCCCTGTCCGCGGCCAAAGCCCCTCAGCCCGGGCAGCCCCGCACGCCCTCCAGCCGCCCGCTCCCCCCCCTGCCCCACTCACCGAAGTACTCCTTCTTCATGTGCATCTCCAGCTCCTTCTCCAGCTCCAGCGTCAGCGCCTCCAGCCGCCTCTCCGCCTGGCTGGGGCCGCTCTCCCGGCACGGCGTCACCTGGTAGGGGAGCTTGAATTTGGGGGCCGAAGCGGAGCCTTTGGTCGGGCTGTAGGCGTAGGGGGGCGGCGGCTCGGGGGCGGCCGGGTGCTGCTGGTCGTGCCGCGGCGGGGACTGGGCATGGATGCGGTGGTGCACGTCCAGCTCGGGCACCGCGCCGTCCTCCTGCAGGCCGGGCCCCAGCAGGGAAGAGCGGGGCGAGGGCAGCTGCAGCTCGGGGTAGGCGCTCATGGAGCCGCGGGAGCTCCGCGAGCTCTGGCTGGAGATGCTGGAGCGGGGGCTGACCACGGCGGGGGCACGACCACCCTCGGGGCCGCACAGGCTGGAGCGGGGGCTGGCCAGGGCGAGCCCGGGGCCGCCCGCCCCCTCGGGCTCGGCGCTGCCCGACGGGCCGTACCTGGAGTCCGAGTAGCTGGAGCGGGGGCTGGCCGTGCAGGAGTACTGGCTGGCAGTGCTGGAGCGGGGGCTGGCGTGGCGCTGGTCGTAGCCCATGCTGATGCCGCTGGTGCGGTTGCTGCTGGGCTTGCTGCCGCCGCCGTCGTAGCCGGTGAGGCTGGCGCGGGGGCTGGAGTGCTTGCTGGTGTCGCTGGCCGTGCTGGCGTAGCTGGAGCGGGGGCTCAGGGCGGCCCCGTCGTACTGCACCAGGCTGGCGCGGGGGCTGCCGAACTTGTCCTGCCCGGGCACCACCAGGCTGGAGCGGGGGCTGGAGAACTTCTCGTAGGACAGCGCGGCCGCGCCGCCCAGGCTGGAGCGCGGGCTGGAGAACTTGCCGTGCTCGGCGGCGGGGCCGGGCGGGGCGGCGGCCAGGCTGGCCCGGGGACTGGCCGCGCCGAACTTGCCGTCCGGGCCGCCGGGCGCCCGCCCGCCGCCCTTGGCCACGTAGCCGCCGTCGAAGGCGCTGCCCGCGGCGTAGCGATAGCCCTCGGCCGAGTAGCGCTTGCCCTTGTCGGCGAAGCCGCTGTAGCAGGGCAGCGCCACCTCGGAGCGGGTGCACAGCCCCTCCTCGCAGCACGGCTCGGCCGCGCGGCCGTTGGCGCGGAGCGGGGCGGCTTTGCCGCAGGGGGCGGCGGGGAAGCCTTCGGCGGGCGGCGGCGCGGCCGAGCCGTTCATCTTCCGGCCCCGCTGCTCCGCCGTCATGTGGGCGGCGATGACCCGCTTGGTCTCCTCCAGGTCGGGGTGCAGCGCCAGGTCCCGGCGGCCGCCCCGGCCGTACGGACCCTCCGGGCACGGCTCGTACAGGGACAGGTCCTCCATGAACTTGGTGGCCTTCAGTGCCATGTCCTCCTCGTACTTCTCCATGCTCGGCCGGAGCCCGGCGGCCCGGGGCGGGGGAGGGCGGCGAACTCTCCGCGAAACCGCAGCCCGGAGCAGAGAAAGAAAAGGGGGGGGGGGGGGGGGGGGGGGGGGAGGGGGGGGGGAGGAATAAAAAAAAATCCCTAAATCCAGCAACACAAAAACCAGCCCAAAAGAAAGCCCCTTCCCGCGGTCCTGGCGGGGCAGCGGCGGGACGCGGCTCCTCCTGCGGGGGCTGCGGGGCGCGGTCACCCGGGCGGCATCCCGCGCTGGGGGCTCGGAGCGGCCGGGTGCCCGCGGAGCGCGGCCGGCGCGGTCGAGTAGCCCCTGTGTCACTTTCCAGCCTTAAATAAGTTGCCCGGTCCAGTCAATGGCGCGCTGCGCGGAGGAATTTGCGCTCGGCGGGTCCCGGCCCCCGCCGCCCCCGTTGTCCGCCCCGCGGCGGGGCCGCGGCCCGCCCGCACCCCCGGGCGGGGGGGAAGGCGGCGGCCGGCCCGGAGGGGCTTCGCGGCGCGGCGAGCGGAGCGCGGGGCGCGGCGAGCCAGGGACTCCTTTGTGTGGGGCAGGAATGCGAGGAAGGAGACTGGGCGCTGCGTCCCGCTGGAATGTAGTTAATGCCGGAGCCAAACAATGATTTTCCCCGAGTCAGGCAGGGAGAGGCGGCCGCGGCGCTGCTCGGCGGCGGGGTCGGCAGCTCCCTCCTCGGCTGGGCTGGCCGAGCCCGGCCCGGCCCGGGCGGTGCCGCTGCCCCGGCCCCGGCGGGGCTGTCACCGCACCCCGCTCCCGCGGAACCCGCGCTCGGGGCGCCCCGTCGGGAGCGCTCGGGGGTCCTCGCCCCGCGTGGAACTTTCCGGGACCCGCGGCCTCGTCCCGGGGAAGAGGCGGCTCTGCCCACCCACCCCCGACCGGGGTGCGCCCCGGGCAAGAACCGACATCTCGCCAGTGCTGCGGGGCCGGGGGTGCGGGAGCAGCCCCGCACCTGTGCGGAGCCCCCAGCGCCGGCCAGGTGACTGCTGAAAGGACCTGTGCTTGTAGCACGGCAGCTGAGGGTTGTTGCCAGTTATTTATTAAGCCTTAAAAAAAACCCAAAAAAACCCCACGCAGTGCTAAGACATATGATAAACATATTGTGGCCTAAAGCAATCTGTGAGCTGACGGGAGTTTAAAAAAGCAGCTACTGTCTGTGTAACTGCGAGAGCTTCATCTGTTGATCGGTAACAAACGCCCCAGCACTGCTTTCCCATTTACATCTGTGTGCTCACGGAAAAGGCTGTCAGAAAACCACCCCAAAACAGCTACTGAGCCGAGACCCCCGATACTAAACTGCAGCCTACAGTTAATTTTTTTGGCAACTAAGCTGCAACTCTCTGACAATCATTTGTGTTGATGGCAGAAATGCTGACAAGGCCCTAGCAAGGGGTACCTGAGGAGTGTCCTTTCACTACTGGGTGCTGGGCACCCTGGGAAGAGAGAAATATGTCGCAAGTTTGAGCTATAGGCACTGCTGTGCCAAGAACATTTTATTCTGTTATCATACCTAATTAAACATTAAAAGCAACTGTGTACTCAGAAATGTCCCCAGCTGTGGAGGGCAATTGATTGGCAATCTGTTTGCTTGTGTGTGCAAAAAAAAAAAATCCAACAAACCATGTAAATGTGCAGAGCAAGATCTGAAAAGCAAATCTGTTAGACATGGCAGAGGCAATCCACTGTCAGTGTGCACACCCGTAGGCAAACACCACTGCTCTTGGGAGTCAAGTGCTCTTTTCTGTGTTCACATCTTTCGTTACACTTTTTGCCCATCTCCTAAACAAGCTGTTACCACATGCTCCTGCAGCTTTACTACTTGTGGAACAAGTTACACTTCACCTGTAGCCCACAGGTGTGTGATGGAGGAGAGGCCTGTTGCAGTTGTGTCCTGGTGCAGACCATGCCCAGCTCACACAGCACAGGGCCCTCGGTAGCAAATGTGCCCCAGCACCGAGCGGGATCAACCAGCATTCCAGTGCCTGTCCCACTGCAGCCTTGGGATCAACCAGCATTCCAGTGCCTGTCCCACTGCAGCCTTGGGATCAACCAGCATTCCAGTGCCTGTCCCACTGCAGCCTTGGGATCAACCAGCATTCCAGTGCCTGTCCCACTGCAGCCTTGGGATCAACCAGCATTCCAGTGCCTGTCCCACTGCAGCCTTGGGCTCGCTGGTAACGCTGTCAGCAAGGACACAACTGTGCTGTCAGCCACATAGCACAGACACCTACCTGCCGAGAACAAAGAGAGGTTCCTCCCACAGAGCACATGGAAACCACCATCTGCTTCATCTGCCCCACCTGGGACAAGGTTTGTTTGCAGCAGTGGGCATCCCATGAGCTGAGCCTTCAAGTGTACCAGGGCAGAGCTCCTTCAGTCATTCCTGAGGCCTGTGCTAGGCTGTTCTCTCCTGGTGCTGACTTTGCATCACTTATTGCCAATTTTTGTAAGGTTGTCTTCCTGAGAAACTGGGTGAGGCTCATGGACAAGATGGGAAGTCGATCCGTCAGAGCACATGTAAAGGAAATTAATTTCCTCTATTTTAAGCTTGAGATTTTTTTCGGTTGGTTGTTTTTTTTTAACTTTGCAACATTACATAACTTTACTGTTAATCTAACAGAGTGAGTAGGACATATTAGGAGGCCCTGCCAGCGTGCTCATGCAAGGAAGCATTTTGAGCAGGTATCTTTACAGCAGGAACCACAGAGCTAGTGCTGTGGGAAGTCAGAAGTGTAAGCTACAGCAGGGGCTGTGTGTCCTTCTGTAGCTTTGTCCTTCTGGGCCACAAATCTGCCCTTGTTCTGCCTTTTGAGGCAGCACAGTTCTGTGCTGCTTCTGCTGCCAGCAGGTTTCTGCAGGAAGTCTATTTGTACCTAAGTCATTAAAACGTGTTGTTGAGTATGAACTCATGGGGAAAACATACTGGGGACTGAGAGAATCTGGGGAATCTAAGGGCTAGTGAGCATTGTGGATCAAATGATAAAAATCACTTGCTTTATTGTTTGAAAGCTTATACTTGATAAGTAAACCCTCAAACAAGGCCCAGCCAAGCGTGCTCAGTCCTGGGCCAGAGCATCCCAGCACTGTGTTCCCTCTCAGCCCTGCTGCAGGGGCAGTGCCACTGACCCCCTCTTCACCAGGGAGTTGTTCTTCTGCCATCCACACAAATTCTGCCATCCACATCCACATTTACCCCCCCTGCAGCCGCAGGAGTGGAGCACAGGGGTGACATCAGCACGTTCAGTGGTGCTCAGCACACTCGGGCACTGCTGCACTGCCTACAGAGCCCATCAGCACCAGGCTGGGCAAACGACTGTGGAGTCAAAGCTGCTCTTTGACTTCGGGAGCCTAGCCATGATGATGATGTACTAAGTACCCCCATCATTCTCCTCACTGTTATGTAGATGAAAACCCAAAGCACTGGATAATTACAGCTTGACAGTCCTGACCTCCATCCCTGGAGATTTTTAAAGAGACTGGATGTGGCACTTAGTGCAGTGGTAGTGGTTCAAGGGTTGGACTTGATGATCTCAAAGGTCCCTTCCAACCCAGCTGATTCTATGATTCTATGATTCTATTCTATGACCTGGCTGTTCCCCCACCTAATATTCAATATACTTGCTTAATTGTAACACCCAGTAGTAAAATGTATATACTGCAAGAAGACTCATACTTTGCAACTAAGAGCACAAGGGCTGTCAGAGTATTTTAAAAGCTGAACTTCATTTCACTGTTTGGTGTGGTAATCCTTGTGCCTGATTTTGTGTTATATGGTAAATCAGATTTTAAGGAAAGCCAGCTGCTTCTGTTAAATAAACTCCATTGTCTGAGACTTACAGGGAGCAAAGCAGCCAGGTGGAGTTATTGATCTGTGAATATCAGCTGGCTGGGCCTCACAGGCAGCACACTCCTGCTCCTGGTAATTCCCAGGGCCTGCAAGGGAACACTGCCCAAGCCAAGAGGCAGGGAAACCTGCTGGGGGTTTTGCTTCCTTGCTTGCAAACAGTTTATTACCAACAAAGAAGGGAATCTGTAAATGTAAGAACTCACTGGGGAAACCTCAGCCCTCTTGAAGACAACAGCAGAAATCCCACTGCCTTGTGTTGCCATGTGTGTTCTATCAGACCTGGGTTTACTGACAATGCAGGAGGGAGCTCTTTGTCTCACTTCATCAATTTAACAATTGGAAGCTGCCTATTGAACTGGATGCTGCCTGATTTTCTGCAATTTCCTTCTTTGTCTCCAGCAGTAAGAAATCAATGAAATTATACCTTGATGTCCACAAGGTTTTCCAGTTTTAAAATTGATTGGTTTCTTGGTGAGGAATGTTAATGATTATTCTTTTTCTCTAGTTTCTTTTAAGCCTGATGAAAAAACCCCAAACCAAATGAACACAAAACACCAAAAAACCTTGTGAAATTCATGCAAAAATTATGAAGAAATGTTTTTGTTTTGGGATGGGAGACTGAAGTTTTGATTGTCTCTGAAACGGTAGCTGTATTGGGTTTCTATTGTTTTGTTTTGCTTGTTTGGATCCTGTATGTTAATTTGTGTTGTGATAACCTTAAATATAAGCAAACATTTTGGAATATGAAGTTGGGATATTAACATTGTATTTGGACTTGGGTGATTTGTTTGTAAATCACTCTGTTCTAACCTGTTTTTTAAAATTCTTATTTGCAGTTGATCACAGCTTCTAAAAATTGAAATTATAGAGTGTGTTTTAGGGCACCATCTTCTGGTGGACAGCACACATTGTATTTGAATGGCTGCCTTCTCTAGGCACAACTATTTAAAGTATTTCTGACTAGCGCTACTCTGCAGGCTTACAGGTCATTTCTCATTCTAAATCTGCAATAAAACACTATTTAACATTTTTTACATTCTTCTTATTCATTGCAAATGCAGCTATTCACTGTGCTGCACAAACACAGCTCGGGACAGACCCTGTAAAATTCCAGTCACAACAGGCGCTTTGTGACCGTGCCGGGTCAGACAGACAACATATGTCCAGGCACTTGTGATTAATACACCATTTAGGTATCTGATTTCTTTTATAGTTTCATCTT